TGCATTAACCCGACACCTGACCGTAAATGAAATGCGAGCGGCTCGGAACTTAATTATTAAAGTTGTACAAGCACAAAACACTTCAGTGACACTATTATTAATCTTATGCAAAATAAAACTGTTGCCTCTAAAAACTCACTTTTAGCATTGAATCCGTTTTAGATGAAAATGGACTTTTAAGAGTAGGCGGGAGATGGCAGTGGTCGCATTTGACATACGATAAAAAGCATCCTATAATCTTGCTGCATGACTCTCACTTGACAAGGCTTATCATTGATGAAGCGCATAGAAATACTTTACACGGAGGCGCCACCCTGACACAAGCTTATGTTCGCTACCATTATTGGATTATATCTGGCAACAGAGCAATTAAAAAACAGATTCGACAGTGTGTGAAATGCAGAAGACATAATCCACAAAGCCCAGAGCAAATAATTGTTAACTTACCAGAGCCACGAGTGACACCATCTCGCCCATTTACCCACACTGGCGTAGATTTTACTGGATTTGTGAAGATAAAAGCCAGCAAAGGCAGAGGTATAAAGACCATAAAAGGATATATTGCCGTATTTGTCTGTTTTGCGACTAAAGATATGCACCTGGAACTCGTGACAGACCTGAGCAGTGCAGAATTTTTGGCGACATTTAAAAGAATGTGTGCCCTTGGAACAAACTTTGTCGGTGCAGCAAAAATTTTAAATAGAGAACATAGAGAGGCTTTGAGCGTTATTAATATGCAGTTCCTTGACAATGCAAGTAGTATGGGGGTCACATGGCATTTTAACGCTCCAGCGTGGCCCAGTGCAGTTGGTCTGTGGGAAGCCGCCGTAAAAAGCATTAAGCATCATCTCAAACGTGTAATATGTGAGCAAAAAGTGACATTCGATGAGTTCTACACGTTATTGGCACAGATAGAACTCAAGTCAACTCAAGACCGTTATACGCCTTGACTGACAATATAGATGATGACGTCTTAACCCCTGGTCATTTCTTGGTGGGAGGTCCGTTGCTGTCAACACCCCTAGAATATCCAGAGGAACCTATAACTTGCTACGCAATTGTTAAGACTTGGAAAAGATATACTTCGGGGGAACGACAACGTTCTTCTTCTCAAGACCAGAGATACCAACGGAACCGGCCAGCCGACCTGGAGACAGGGCGGATTCGTGACAGTGTTGTGAGTGCAGTGAGTGATGATCATGGTATAAGAGATCGAAATGTCGATGTGTCGATGTGCCGCGACGCAAGTGGTTCCGTAGTGAACGTGGAGGGGCCGCATCCCCAACCATAAAAAAGACTATTAAATTTGACAATTTACCTCAGCCGTAGTGTATTTACGTGACTATCTTTTAAGTCTATAAGAATACACTCTAGTTACATGATTTGATATAACTTTATGTTATAGTTTACAATTTTTATCTTTTATTGTTTATTTCTTTTTTGTCGTTGGCAATATGTACAAGCCATTTTAATTATATTTTATTAAGTTTGCATTCCGAGTCGATGCACTCTAAACTGCTGACACAATTGACCCACTAATTGGTTTAAGAACAATATTTTACATTATATGACAGTGCAATAAAGGCATTCACATCATATTGACGTATTTTAATAATTATCTCCTGACAATCGTCCCGTGACTAATTGACATATTGACAGTCGTTAGGGTCCTAGTAACGGCCCCTACAATATTTTTTATCTTTTCTTCTTATGCGGGGAGTGATGTAGCATCAGTGTGTACTTTGTATCTAGAACACGTCGATCACAGCATTTACAGCCGACGCACATCAATATTAGTTAGGGAAATTGGTATATACGATGTAAGTAAGAATTAATTACGCTCCAATTTGTTAAGCTACTCTTTTTTTTGAGTGTGTATGCTGTTGGTCGCAGATGACCTTTATAGTGTCACCGAGATTGGGGACGGCGAGATCCTAAGGGGACCTCAAGCCGGTAATTGGCGTGCCTCTAGAGATATTCCATGAGAGATAGAGATATTCCTCTAGAGATGGCACCCCCCCTACGGGGGAGTCTCCTCTTCGTCTAGAACCTCTAGACCACTCGAACCTAAAGGGTGTTAAGCTACACACTGCTGTTTCAATTCTTATATCCTGTCACTAGGAGCCAAACATCAAAAGGAGGAAAGGGGGAGGACTTATAGATTATATAATACAAAATGATTATATAACCTAGAAATATTTTCTTTTACTTTTACCAGGACGCAAATACAAATTTATTATAATGGAGTACGGTAACTTCAGAATACCCTTTGATTTGAATATTTTCCTACTTCGATGTTTGTGATGTATTAAACTTTTTCTTGAACCTCCAACACTTCACTGAGCAGCTTTCTTCAATTTATATATTTTTTCAAGCATCTAACAGCTAGATGTTTAATGTAAAAATAATTGTATTAGAAAAAAATCCAAGTGGATCAGGCAGCAGACAGGACTCGAAGCCGCACATCCCGCTATATGGGCGGATGCCGGGAACATTACTACCGCATTAATATCATTGCTACCGCGGCCCTAATGGCCGTGTCGAATTTTCTCTAGTATTTCTAAGACTGCTAGGCAGCGCTATCTCTTCGCATTATAGGTAACCCACAATGTCAATTAATACCTTTACAATTATTAAACACTAAATGGCGCTGTACACATCTGGATCGCGTTATTGTTTCGTTGTTTTGATAAGACAATTCTGTTACCTGATCGAATTTGTCAGCCGAGACCAACGGTTTTAATGAGATTTATGAAGCTGTCATTCATCGTAAGGTGAGAATAACAACATTTTCAAATTTAATAAAGATTGATATGTCATCACAGCTTCGTTCGTAGTTTGTTACTTTGTTTGTTGTCGTACAATCGTACGTACTCTCCGTTCATCCTTTCCGTGAGTGCGTTTCCGAGTTAGGGGATTTTTTATTTTAGATTTAGAAAGTAAATATATTTTTCACATTCACTCTGTAATGTAATGCAATTTATATATGTACCTCTTTAAAATATAACTTAGTTTTTTTTAAATACTTGCTATACCTATTTCGTTCATAATATACTATATTATATCTACTAGTGGCCAACCCTCGTTTTGCTTCGGTGTAGAGCTGTAGTTTAGACTATAGTTTTTGTTCAAAGGCTTGTATTATACACAATGACCTTCTTCATAATAATTATAAACCTTCCATTCCAAGTAAAAATATTGTTGCGTAGTTTAGGACCCGTTGTACCAAATGCAACATTGCTCTGCTGTTCCGATTTGAAAAATTCTATTTTGGATAGTGCATATATCTGGAAGGCATAGGCTATATATTACCCGGCTACGACCAGTAGCAGCGGAGCATCAATGAAAAATGTTGCAAAAACGGATAAAAATATTCCATTTGTGAGATTCCGTTGAGTGCGCTGGGTAAACGGTTAAAGTTACACAAAAATCATGTATGACGGAATTCTTTCCCTTTAAAAGGTCTCGAAAAAAGCCCACGACAGCTTATTTCTAAATTTTAATAATTTAACTTACTATAAAAATTAACGCGGGTGAAATCGCAGGGGACCTCTAGTTGTGACATAACTCTATACATGGTACTGCGGACTTTTTTGTAGATATTGGTTGGTCTATTGTCAATGACTTCCGCAGCGTCCGCGATATAAGGCTATTTTTAGGTATTTTTTACACACGTTGGGTACACTATCGAAGTTTTCATACTGTACCCTAACTTTTTTGAAAATACACTGTAGCCTATATTAATCAGTGATAATGTAGCATTCTAATGGTAAAAGCATTTTTAGGCAGCAGACGGGACTCGAACCCGCACTCTTCGCTATCCGGGCGAATGCACTGACCATTATGCTACCGCTGCTGCCTGATTTTTTTCTAGTAAACCTTTTTTTTAGATTTTTAATATTAAAAGTAATTTATATGTATATCACTATAGAAAGATGAGAGATAGAGTAGTAGCGACGAACTCAAAAAAATTATGCAAAAAACTAAAACCCACTTCAAAATCTAAAATGGAACTAAAAAGTAAAAAATAATATCTGGTTCATTATTTGCAGGTCGGATGAGTCAAGATTGAAAGACGTATTATTTGTGACTGCAAATCATGAACCAGATATTATTTTTTACTTTTTAGTTCCATTTTAGATATTAAAGTCGGTTTTATTTTTTGTTTAAAAATTTTTATTTCATCCATTTTAGTGAAAATTACATCGTCCAAGTAAACATTAACACAATTGACGGAGAAATCGGTGAACATGCATAAAAAACATAGTGCGTGCCTTTAAAATTTTAAGGTTTTCCTCGATTTACCGGATTCCACCCTCAGATCCTGACTTGGTTCCAATAGGACCACCGCAGAGTTCACTTTTTTCACAAAAAAAGAATTTTGGAAATCGGTCCACAATTGACGGAGAAATCGGTGAACATAGGTATACATAAAAAACATATATACATATACAGTGGAACACAGAACCTTCTCCTTTTTTGAAGTCGGTTACAAAAAGACATGTTTAAAGCACTGGCAATTTTTTATTCAACTCAAAACTGTATTTTTGTATACTTAATTACTATCGATTCACTCATTTTATAAAGTGCTATATTTTATCTCAAAGAAAAACGTCTAAACTATATTTCTTCTTGTTCTTCTTCTATGCTCGCTTGCTTAAAGATATATATTTTTTGTGTGAGAAGGGTGTCAAACAAGCGTATGGCACGCCTGATGGTAAGCGGTCACCATAGCCTATAGAATAGATAGACGCTTGCGATACCAAAAGTATCACTCACACCGTTTGCATATCCTACCACTTTGAGCCGTGGAACTTCGCTCATCTACAGCAACAGAACACCACCAAAAGCTGTCGTTATCTTCTGCAAGGCGGAGGTTACTTGCCCATACGGGCGATCCAATCAGAGTCCTATACTGACTCACTTTTTCCTTCCGCAGGTACACTCGCTCCAAGATGGAGGACGCGAACTTTACCATATTCAACACCTCACTACTCCGGATGCGGGAGCTGGCCCCGACGCCCACTTTCATAGCCGTGATCAACACCAGTATCACACGCGTCTCCAGCAACGCTTATGAGTGGCGGTTCATACTACCCCCGTACTTCCTCATATTCATGCTGTCTGTAACTGGGAACTGCATGGTGATTGCCACATTAGCCAGTAATAGAAGAATGAGGACCATCACTAATGTTTATTTATTGAATCTGGTGAGTACTATAGTATAATCATCATCATCAACCCATCAGAGGCCCCACTGCTGGGGCACAGGCCTTCCCTATGGATGGAATACTGAGATTGGTCCATGACCCACCACGCGGACCCAGTGCGGCTTAGCGAGTGCTAACGGCTGCAGATGCAATCGGGACCAACGAATTAAAATGCCTTACGAAGCACGGAGGAACTCGAGATAGACGATTTTTGGTCACCCATCCAATGGCCGACCACTGTGAAATTTGGTTAATTTCAACGATCGCAGCCGAACGCGCTAATTACCCGCGCCATCGAGCTCCTAAGGTAGTATAATACTACCCTCTAATACTAAGCCCATAAACCCCCGTTTATACCGAGAAACAAGTCATAAACTAGTTTTAAACATCCTTTCGTTTACACTGCATAGACAACTGAGGAGCTGCCGAACATAATGGTATAATTACGCATCTGGCCCGTTGAATTTGAATCTCAAATAATTTTCAATCAAAACCGTCTAAAACAGTGTTAAAATTACTAAAATTATAAATTAAAAATCCATGCCAAAAGCTCACTGTAGGTATGTCATTTAGTTTTATACAGCTCCTGTAAAATTTTGATTTTATGTCATTATACCGTTTAGTTTGCTAGCTTCTCAAATAGTATCTTGACAAATATGAACACTCATTCACTTCACATAATTTGTTAATCCAACAAGTTTGATGTAAGTACTGTATACTACATGTTTTATACATGTATATAAGTGTGAACAAAGGATTACGACACTGTTTAAAATTTGTTTAATACAGGTATTATACCTTTGTGTAAACGAGGTGTAAGCAGGTATAGACTTATAAACCGAAAGAGGTTAGAAGTCCCTTGAGGGCGGAACAGGCGTGCCACAGTTATGTGTGAGCAAATGTTCATAACTTGACCTAAACTTCGTTGTTATTATAAAAGTTTGTAAGAATTTACAAGGTTGCCTTATTACCACAAAAGATTTAAACATGCGTTCAAAGTTTCTACAAAATTTGCCTCAACAAGGTTTGAAACCGTGTCTAACTTCTTTGTAGTAAGACCGTTTCCCCCTTATTTATAAATAACTAGCGGCCCGCCCTCGCTTCGCTTCGGTGTAGAGCTGAAGTGTAGACTACAGTTTTTGTTCTCAGGCTTGTATTATACACAATGACATTCATCTATGATTCTTCTTATACCTGCATGCAAAGTCTCAGCCCGATCGGTTTAAAATTGATAAAGTTTCATACAAACTTTCATTCCTTATTTTATCGCCTTGGGATTTTCTTTATATTTTTTTCCGTAAGAACCTTGCACAGAGTATTAGAAAACTACAAAAAAAAACAGCCAAATCGGTCAAGCCGTTTTCATGTTATGTCGTGACAACGGAAAACGGGTTTCATTTTTATATATATAGATAAACAAAAGGAATAGGCTTAACCTAGTTACACCGTGATTTGTTCATGTCACTCAAATGCCATTTGTCATTCAATAAACAGAGAAAGCGTAGTCTTTGTTTATTAATAAGGGCGTTTAGGAGAGTTTTATTGTGTGCTGTCCGATTGACATTTATCAGTAATTTAAATATTTTTTTTTATTATCTGTAGAGTTATTTGTGATGTCAGTGGTTTGTGTATAGTTGATTCCAAACTTCGCGTATTCCATGTCTGGATGAATTGCTCTTAAAGTACATATTGCTAACTAAAGGTTACCCGCGACTTTTTCTGCGTGGAAAACTTTGGTTTTCCATATACACTTTCACCCCTTGAAAGGATGATTTCCGGAACTCAAATTATTACTTTACCAAATTTCATCTAAATCAGTGCAGCGCTTTAAGCGAGGAGGCTTTAAGTAAGGATTTCGATTGTCGATTTCGTTTGACTATATTTAGTGGTGAAGTGGAAATTTGGCGATTTCAGATTGCTGTTATTTTCCCAGCTTAGTCGCCTTATAAATTATATGATTTTTGTTAATAAGAAACTTTTCCCAGACGTTCTCTCCAATTCTGCGGAGAATACATTATGCCCTTATTACCTTATCGTCCGATAAGCTGGGATAAAGAAACTAACTGGCTGGATAAGCTGGAATAAATAAATACGACAGAGTGACAGAAAATCGGTTACGCTTTTTGGAGCGAAAATGGTGTTTGTAAACTCATGGCAGAGTTACTGATATCACGGAATGTCTTTATTTTCATTCATTCAGGGTTTTCAAAACCGTTTTCGGCGATGAAGTGATAAGTATTTATGAAACAAAAGTTCTTCATCATCATCAGCCTATTAACGTTCCCACTGCTGGGGCACAGGCCTTCGCTATGGATGGAATAGGGAGATTGGGCCATGACCCACCACGTGGGCCCAGTGTGGATTGGTGGGTGCTGACGACTGCAGATGCAGCCGGGGCCAACGTCTTAACGTGCCTTCCAAAGTACGGAGGAGCTCGAGATAGTAAATTTTTGGTCGCCAATCCGAGCCGAGCCTGCATCAAATTTTTGTATCATATCACTGCACCAATCCACACGGGCCTTCTTCTGAGCTTCGGTGAGGTTGTGCGGCACCCAGCGGGAAACTATCCTCCTTACGCATAGGTGCTCGTGTAAAATCTTGTGAACACTTCCTGAACCAATCTGCAGAGTATGCTAAATCTCTTCTTACGTAATTCGTATATTTTATTGATTTTTTTTTACTGCCGGTCCTTAACCATAAAAGCAGTTCGAAATCGATCAAATAACTCATCAGGTTTTAAGCCACATTTAAAATCGTAAAAAATCATAGCGATGCAGATCCATTTTTAATGAGACAAGCAAACTTTAATTGGCACTCGAAAAAATGCGGAGATAAAATTTGAAAATCGAACAGTGGTTTTTTTACTTTTAATTAATCGAAGTTTTCAAAATAATTACAAGTGGCCAGTGTCTTATACATAAAAACTCGCCGAACTTTCCGAGTGTTATATATAGTCGAGTGTGATGCACGTGACGGTCGTAGCGTTTCAGCCTTCGCTGAAACTTACCCTCCAACTTTCATGTTCGTCGGGAAGAGTTCGCACGCGTCCCACACACACATACACACTCACACACGTGGGTGTGTGAGTGTAACTTACACACACTTACACACACACAAACACACATATTATTATATATATAGTCATGTGACGCTCGTAACGCATTTCCGTTTCATCTTTTTCATAGGATTTTTCCATTTACACCCCGTCCGAAAAGAACTTTCACTTTTTCAGAAATAGATAGAGACGAATTGCGAATCTCTTTCGTGTTGAAGTTGTTAAAAAACTACAGTGGAAATTCCAATCTATCGTCTCTGACGGCTAGGTTACACAGCTGCTGATGTGACTAGACTGATCTCACCTGGTCTCACAAGTGCGAGCTGCTGATGTGACAGTAGACAGCTACTTTACCCCTGTACTTGCATGGCAGTAGTTTGACTCATCTCACCCGGTCACACAAGTGTTGTTGTGAAAGTAGTCAGCTCAGTAGCTGTCGGAAGTTATGCGAAGTCGGAAGGCGAGTACACAGATACAGTTATCTGTGTACTCGTACTTTGACTTCGCATATGAAAAGTCCAATGTTATAAAAAAACAGCGAGGGATTCTTTTACCCAGATCCCCTTTATGTCTACACCAAAACTAATCAAAAGCACTTCAGCTGTTTTTAGGGATCGTAAACAAAGATGATCTAATATAAAGGATATTTAGTATCATGATTGCCGTGTTTCATTATAACTACTTAACTAATTTGAGTACATATATCACTATTAGGTATATCAGTTTGCCTGTTATTGGTATTCGCTTCAAGGAACTTCGAGAGATTGGCAGGAAATTATGTGAATTCACTTTCCTTGTTCGATCACAGTAATGAGCAGTTATGGCATGTCAGTAATAGTATAGGATCCCAAGGGCGCCAGAAATATGGATAATTGAGTAGTGCGTGTAAAATGAACGTATACGTGCTCGGCGACTTGTGCTATGTGTAAATTTTCAGGTATCAGGTGGCACAGGCACGTAAAAATTTTACTCACTTTTCTTACAGTCTGAGGACTGATTCGTACGTATGTTGTAGAGAATATTGTAAGCACTGCGATTTAATGCCAGTCATTTTTAATTTAGAAAAGAAATTAGCGCACAGCACAAGTTAGCGAGTATTACGTTCATTGTACACACTTGATTATCCATAGTTTCTCCATGAGAAAATAAGTTAGGTCTGGCTGTTTTGGGATCTTACTCTATAAATATTCATATTTCATTGAAACAGATATTCTCTGAGCATAATTTACTTCATAATACATAATAGGTAATTAAGGCATAAGATCAATAACGACATATTACTCGTATATATATTATATTAATGTAGTTAGGTTCTCGTTTAGTTTAAAGATTTTATTGGGGTTGATTTGTACTAGAGAATGACTTGTACCGTTTGGTTCTAATGTATCATTCGAACTCTTTGCTCAAGTATGCAAAATTTTTGCTGAATGTTTTTAAATTATTGTTCATATTGATGTATGATTTATTAATGCCAGATCATCAAATCGTTGTTGAAATTAGGCCTTAGAGTTATGAATGGATCATTAGTTCTGTGCCTAAATAGGCGTTCATAATAACGCTTAAAATATATTGAAATTCTGTGATATGATAATATTACTATCGTCATTTTAATTATTTTATATTGCCATAGTTTCAAGACAGGACGTTAGTATAGTTACATGTTTTTAAATTAAATAATTTTTGTTTGTGTTCTGTTGTTGTTCGATAGCTTAGTGTCTTCTAAATGTGGATTTCTCAATAAAAATCGGATATTCAGATTGTAGAATATTATTCATAGTAAAATACAGATCTTATTGAAATTATGTGCGTACGTTGTCTTTTTTGAATTCGAATGCAAGAGGGAGAGTGAATGTATATAAATCAAAATGAGTGAATGTAGTAACGAAATGGGTACGAAATGAATGTATGAACGGACGATGATGATGGACCGATTGCAGCTTCCTTCTTCGAAGGATAGATGGCGTTAACATACCGCCCGGCCTTGGAAAATTTAGTTTCCAACAAGATCACGCGTTCGTATTCTCGCAGACTTCGTCATCAGGATGCCGAGGAAGAGGACAAAGCTTCGAAAATGTCCTTTGTATATTTCCTGATGCCGTCCGTATTTCAGCCGCTCGAGATATGCTGTCTGTGCCAGGGTAGACTCTCACGATTCTGCCAAGCCGCCATCTCAGTGGTGGTAAATTGTCCTCCTTTATCAACACCAACATATTTTCACGAAGATCAGGAGCAGCGGACTTCCACTTGGTACGGGTCTGCATTTCTGAAATATACTCCTTGGACCACCTAGTCCAAAAGTGTTGTCGCATCTGTTCGATTATGTCGTAGCGGAGAAGGCGTCCAGGAGTAGCCATCGTCAGGTCTTCGCTAGCTGGAGTGGTCAGAGGCCTTCCTATGAGGAAATGCGCAGGGGTAAGGGGAGTATAATCGCTGGGATCTGAGGAAAGAGGTGACATAGGCCTGCTGTTTAGCACGGCTTCAATTGAAGTTAAAACAGTTGTGAGTTCCTCAAATGTCAATCTAGCATCCCCCACAATTCGTCGAAGGTGATGCTTGCACGACTTGATTCCCGATTCCCACAAACCACCAAAATGAGGACTATAAGGATAAATAAATTTGAATTTAATATTTTCATTATTTGCAAAATCAACAATGTTATCAGATCAATTATTGATAAAGGACAATGGGCAAAACACATTCAGCTCCGCCAACAATGAAATTGGTATGAATGGATAGATCTATAAAAAACTAGCCTTTTTTATTATGACACCGTAAAAAATTATCCTGATAGTCAAAAGATATGACACGAGCATATTAAATATGCCCATGTAAAGTGAATTCACTTAAATTCACTTAAATTTTAAGGAGCTAAGTAAATTTACTTTGTAGTGCCTTTATTTTATATTATTAGTGACCATAAATATAAATATGCCATATCGTACTATACAACCAGATATACGACAAAGCCTGCCGACCATCATGCGCTTGCACTTACTGAACCACCTTAAAACGGTTTACGGGGGTTGAAGGACTTGCAGTTGCAAATTGTCGACTCGTCTTACTTCGTTGTGATTGTGCGCTCCCTGTCACTTGATTGATTTTTATCTAACACGCTTTGGACATCGTGTGATTATCGGTTTTCTCAATTAGTATGGATGAACTGGAATCATGTTTTCTTCGAAGAGTTGACAAGTTTAGGTGCTTTGTGGTCGCTCCCTTTTACATAAAAGACAATTTACTATTATGAACAGACTGTTTGAAAAATCCCCAACCCATGAGGGGATTATTGGATTTACTCTAGCGCGGCAGAATAACACAAGGAGGCACCGTTACACCTTGTGGAGTACTCCCACAATACCTGAGCCTTCTATGTAGGGTCGAACTAACTAAATTAATTCTCTTATTTTGTTTAATGTTCGTTCGTTATCTTGTACTTGTACTTATTTAACTAAAAATAACTAAAGACCCCCGGGATGGAATTTGATGCGCTTTGTCACATATGATCATGACTATAATACCTTTCAAACAAATGTAGTTGAAGCCGTGGCGGACGTGGGTGCAGCATCCATACATTTTTGCCCAATGTCCTTTATTTCTTTCTTTCTCTGCCCCGACAAAATTCCTTCCATTATCTGAATGAATTTCAATCGGTTTTCCGCGGCGAGCGATAAATCGTTTCAAAGCCAATATATAATCAGCAGTTGGCAGACAGCTAACTAGTTCTAAATGAACCGCACGCGTCACGAAACAAACGAATAAACAAATATAACCCTTAACTAATTGACACCCCCGGCCTTTACGGTTCATGATCGAAACAGGACCTGCATAGTCCACACCACAGTACATAAACGGATAACCCGGATGCATACGCTGAGCAGGTAAGTTACCCATGATCGGTGTCAAAATGTTACCCTTCAATCGTGTACATGTAACACACTGTCTAACAACTTTTCTGGCGAGATTTCGACCACCTAATGGTCACCAAGATTCTCGAACAGAACTTAGTAATAATATATGTGGGCCCGCGTGGAGCAGTCGTATATGCTGATCGCGAAACAACAACAATGTAAAACGATGCTTACTACAAAGTAATATCGGGTGCTTCTTATCATAACTAAAATCATTCGCATTAGACAATCTACCACCTACTCTTATAATTTTATTCGAATCTAAAAATAAGTCCCGATATTCTACTATTACGCTTAACAGGAATAGAAAAAATATTAATTAACGTACAATATTCCAATGGAAACATCTGTTTTTGTGCGACAACCCGAAACGTGCAGTCGGCCGCGCGGAATTCATCAACTGATAGTAAACCGGTTCGGCGTGATTGCCTACTCCTTGGGCTCGGGCATTGTACACAAATCTAAGGACGTATGCTACTGTTCTTTTCATTCTACTAAAACTCGAATACCTATCAAAGTTTAATAACATGCATGTGTCAACTATAGTAGATACAGAAATTGTTTGTGACTTCAAATCTTTGATACGACTCATATGACTCAGGTCAAAATATTCCCTCAGAAATTCATTACAAAACTTTCTTTAATGAGAAAAACGTTCTACTTCACGTTCTAAATTTTTAAATCGAATTTCTGCCGTTTTTAATGAGTCACCGAGAGAATCAGCTGACTCCTTTAATGGGATTCGTACACAGAACCTATCGTACTCGTCACGTGTGGTTGTGTTACGAAAAATCTCCTCGCTCTTCAATTGAGAGTATGTTGGTTGATTGGGGTATTTCCTCAATCTCCCAAAATTGCTTTAATTGTATGTTAGAATCTAAATTAACATTAGTGATGTTACACTGAACTTCCTGGTACCTTGAGTCGCCATGGAAACTGCCAGATATTAACCACCCTAATTTAGAGCTATGTAAATATGGCTCTTATGGTAATCGATTTTTTTTTATCCATCTAACAAGTCCCAAAACCTATCCGCCCATATCAGAATATCGATGTCTGACGGCACATTGAAGGTGGGATCGGCTAGAAATATATTCTCCGGTAAATTTAACATATTTATATTTATATGCGCTGTAGGCAATATAGATGTGATACATGGTAAAACTATACATTTAACCTGTGTATTATATTCGCATGATTTCGATCTCAATTTAATTTCGCATACTTGATTTGAGTTGGTAATCGATTGGCCAACTCCACAAATACGAACCGTGGACTGTAAAACTGTAATATTTAATCGTTTGCATAATTATCTGTAATGAAAGAATGCTGACTCCCACAATCAAGCAGTGCGCGTGCATAATGATAGTGATTATTAGAATCGGCAATTTCTATCACAGCTGTTGACAATAAAACCTGTTTCATGACACTCGACATGTCTTGCAAGTTATTTTCGCACCTTATTTCTTGCGTATTAAGATTTATTTTACTATGAAATGTCGTAAAAGTAGTGAGAACGTTGCTGTCCGTCTCCAGTGCGAAACGCGTCTTCGCAGAGGATAGCACGCCCTTATTTTCTAAATGTAGTAACCCGTTATGTCTCTGATTGCATTGTCTACAGGAACCGAACGTACATTCGGAAACAGAATGACCAGAACGTAAACAATTCCAGCATAAGTTCTTAGATTGTACGAATTTATCCTATCTCGAATTGGCAAATTTAAGAAGCGAATACAAGTGTAAAGTGCGTGTTTTTCTTCACACATAACACAAGTGCGCGTTGGTTTATCTAGCTGCTTACTATTGCGCGTAGATACATAGCTATAAACGTGTTGTGCTGAATCGCCGCTGAGATCGGAAGTGATAGAACCTTTGTGATTCTCCCAATCTCTTTCAGTAAATAAATCCAATTTTGTGACAATTAAATAAATAATCAATGTGTCCCAAGTATCGGTCGGTTCACCGATAGATTTTAACGCGCGTAAATTACGATTGACGGTATCTATCAATCTTCTTATCTGCGCAGGCGATTCCGGCTGAATAGATTATAGCGTAAACAGTGATTTTACGTGATTATGTATAAGAAGGCGATTATTGTGAAACCGTTTTACTAAAAGGTCCCAAGCGTTAATATAGTTAGTAGCAGTGAACTCTAAAGCACTAATTACTTGTAGGGCGGTACCACTTACAGATGACCTTAGTAGTGAAACTTTTGAATAGGATCCAAATCATCACGTTTATGTATCATGGTAACGTACGAGTTTTTTAATTCAAACTACTGATCATAGGAACCGTTAAAAGATGGAAGTTTGATTTCGGGTAACTTAACAGAAACCATTCTCTGCGTGTTAGATTTAGAACTAGCTTCGCTATCCTCATCCACCAACCTACATTTGGCAGCTGCTACAACACTAAAATATTCTTCTTCAAATTGCTCACGATACTCTGACTAAGCAAATTAATTTCGTCTACCTTGCTTTCTATTTCAATCTGCATAACATTAAAACTTTTTAGCAAATATTCAAAATCCTCTATGCGTAATTGTAATTCGGTTTTATCTTTATCGCTCAATATTTTATCGGAAATTTTATTCAAACGTTTTTCAAACATTGTCAACCGTAACTTTGAAGCAGCCCTCAATCTTTTTAGATCTGCTATGCGATCGGAACTACTTTCGCTCTTACGAGGGGATTTTGGCATTTTTAAACGATCATCGTCACTCATTTTGGTACTTTATAGAAATTAGAAAACACTTAAGTAACTGGACATCGTCAGGTAAATCGTGTCCTCGATTGACACGATTTACACACTGTAATATAAACAAAGTTGGATATTAGATAATGCACTTCAGAATGGATTAGGATCAGGATAAGAAGGTCTGAACGTTAGTCCTCTCGTTTCGTCTTCCAGGTAACCTTCCTTCCAGATTGCAGATGGCGCTGCCGTCACGTAAACAGTAAGCTCCGTATTTATTATCGGAAAAAAATAATAAATCAACGTTTTTATTTATTAAAGTAGTTTAAAAGTGAAAAGTATCGTGTAAACATAACGTACAAATGTTATCTCCAGTAAATACCAAGAAAATCTAGTGAAATATACAAAAAATGAACAGTGAAAAGTGATTGTGATAAAATCATCATAAACCAATAATTACTTACTAGAAAGTGCATCATACCAAAACAAATACTGCTACTCACTCTCTTCACCGTGAAAATACATAAAAACATACCATTGTGTGCTTTTGTTTATAATAAACTTAAAATCGACAAGAAACAGACGGTTATTATTTGTTATATATATATTTTATTCAAATCTGTGACGGTGCTTGACGAATTTGAACCTTGACTACTTAGAAAGGTTGTCTGGAAGAAATCGCTTATAGCGATAAGACCGCCCATTGAAGCACTCTTTTTTTTTACAATTGTATTGTCCCTCATTTCTGTTCTGTGTTGTAGTGTTTAATAAAGTATTGTGTATTGTATTGTATTGTACTTAACATTAAAGAAAAATATTGAGAGATTACGACATCTATCGATGAATATGTATCACATTTTCGTCATATTGGTATCGGCCTGGCTGGCTCAGCGGCGAATACAGTCCATAGACAAGTGTTAGTCTCAAGAGGTCCGCTGATCGAACCTCGGACGAGAAATTATTTAATTTACCTTTTGACATCTTTATTGAATAATATCATTACTATGGATGAGAATATTACTTACCGAAACATTATAGTCCAGTCAAATTACGGAAAAAAAGGGCTAAAAAAACATGAGCGAGCACAGTTTGGGGATTTTGAGGATCGATAGGGGGGTGCATCCTGAGCTTAAGTTCCAATTTGAGGGGCTTTACTGAGGTCAGCTCAAGGTCATTTCGATACAAACGCGTTTAATTCGATATCTCGAGAAATATCAGTGTTAGCCAAAAAAATATAGAGACCTTTTTTCTTCTAAATGAAATTTATTAACTTTTTTATTTAAAACTTTTTTTTGTAACATCAATATTTTTTAAGTTATTACTCCCGCAAGGCAAAAATTTCATTTTTTCCCCTATTTTTCGTCGTTTTCTCCCCAAACATTCAATTTTATTGAATTTTACCGATCATCAACGTGTATATCTTTTAATTATGCACAATTTTGTTCTTAAACTTTTTTCTGTAACTTCAATACCTTCGGAGTTATTCGACCTCGGGTGCTTAATTTTCCGAATTTTATAACCTATTTTTTGTATCAATAAATGTGTGAAACAGTTTTAATTGCTAATTTACTTGTTACCCAAACAAACCCATAAATTTACCCAAATTAAATACCCAATTTTTAAATAGTTTAATCGACTTACCCTTTTATACTGCGACAGTGGCGTGGATTTCGCTCGGTAAAATAATATATAACTCCGAAGGTATTGAAGTTACAGAAAAAAGTTTAAGAACAAAATTGTGCATAATTAAAAGATATACACGTTGATGATCGGTAAAATTCAATAAAATTGAATGTTTGGGGAGAAAACGACGAAAAATAGGGGAAAAAATGAAATTTTTGCCTTGCGGGAGTAATAACTTAAAAAATATTGATGTTACAAAAAAAAGTTTTAAATAAAAAAGTTATAAAATTTCATTTAGAAGAAAAAAGGTCTCTATAATTTTTTGGCTAACACTGATATTTCTCGAGATATCGAATTAAACGCGTTTGCATCGAAATGACCTTGAGCTGACCTCAGTACAGCCCCTCAAATTGGAACTTAAGCTCAGGATGCACCCCCCTAACGATCCTCAAAATCCCCAAACTGTGTTCGCTCATGTTTATTTGATTCCGTAATTTGACTGGACTATTAGAAGACGAAGCAGTTCACTTCACAACATTTCATCGCCCTCAAGTATGTTTGATTCTCCAATGACAAGCCTACCAAATACATCAATAAATAATAGCTGCACAGTTCAAGACCTAAATGAAAAAATAAACACACTGACGACCGACCTCCTTACTGCTCATAAAGAAATTATTAAACTTAGTAGTGAGATGACACGGCTCAATTCTGAATTACAAAAATACTTAAAATTAATAAAAACCAACACTCTTATTTTGGATGAAAGCTGCAATACAAGTACTCCACGGTCATCATCATCGGGACGTAAGAAAAAACGTAGCAGAACCAAAAAATATATAGATTCTCCCAAACCGAAAGCAAAATTGACCACAAGGGATGTACCGGAACGAGCAAACTCATCGCTGTCGAAGAATTTATGTACTCCGACCAAAATCAAGTCTGATGGTGCACAATTGACTACGGAAGAACAAACTGAACCTATGAAAAAGATTACAATTATTAGTAGTGATAATAGAATTAAGATACTAAACATATCCAAAGAATGTTTTAACGGATATAAATTCTGTCATTATTTGATACCAAATGGTAGCATAAAACAGCTACTAGATAATATTGAATATAAACTGCAAAATTACACCCATAATGACTTCTGTATATTATTAATTGGTGATGCTGATTTCCGTATAACCAAGGATTATTCTCAACTAATTGATTATATTAGAAAACAATTGTTATTAGTCCAGCATACCAATGTGATATTATGTTCTCCAACCTTCAAGTGTAATAATTATAGTAACCTCTTTAATCTACGTATAGAAGCTTTTAACGACAGACTCTATTTAGACAACTTAAAACATGAATATAGTTTTATATTAGACTCAAACAGGAATTTGACGTACTCGAATGCTATGTTTCATAAGTCTGGCTTAATTAATAACGTAGGAACTAAAACAATATTTCGCGACATTTTGAAACTGATCCATTCGATTGAACATTATAATCAGACACTATCTAATATAAATTAGACATATAATAATTATTATGATGATGAGATTACTATTATTCTTGACAAGAATAAGCTTTTTCGAATGTAATTATATGAACGTAATACATATAAATATTAATGGTTTTCTTAGTAAATCTGACCTTCTGAGCATTCATCTACAAAACTTAGCCAGTAAAGGGAATTCCATCGACGTACTATGTCTGACTGAGCATAATATGATAGAAAGTGACGTGGAACTCAGTAATCTTATTAATTATAATGTGGTATCATGTAGTACAAGACGTAATCGACATGGTGGTTCTTGTATATTAGTACACAATAAACATACCTTTAAACCAATTTTATCTATAATGAAATATAACATAGAAGGTATCTTTGAATGCCCTGCTATAGAGCTTACACATCACAAGTTGCTCATTATCTGCATATATCGACCGCCTAGATTAAATAAACATTACATTGACAAGTTTTTTGATACTTTAGATAGCATGCTTAATGAATATGGCTTGAGCAAAAATAAAATAATATTATGTGGTGACTTTAATGTAGATATCTTAAATAATAACATCAATACAAGAAGGTTTACCCAAATAATCTACAGTTACAATTTGAAATTCTCGTTTCGAGAACCAACAAGAGCAGCGAGTGGTAAATGCATAGATAAAATAATACAAAATGTATATAAACTTAAAAGTAGTCTATTGGAATTTGCAATATCAGACCATGTGGCGAAGCTATTAACTTTCCCAGTTGCACAATCATTCTCCTTTAACTGTTGGTACAGCAAAAGGAGGTGTTATAGTAGTGAAAATTTGAAAATTTTTTTTAAACACCTAAACTAACTTAAATTCAATGATATTTATAACAATACGTGTGATCCTGAAAAAGCGTACAATGACTTCTTTGATGATTTCGGTCTTCTCTACAAACTATGTTTTCCTATTATAAAAGTAAAACATAATAGTGAAAAAAAAAACAAAATGGCTATCAAGAGGTATCAAAATATGCTCAAAACGGAAACGTACAATGCTCTGGATGTACAGAAAAAATCGCACAGAAAAACTTAAAAACGACTTCAGAACTTACTCCTCTAGGCTTAACCGCATTATAAAACAGACTCAAAAATCTCAGAATAACTACTATATTTTATCAGCCAAAAATAAATGTAAGGCTGCTTGGTCAATAATTAATGACAAAAAGAAAAATTTACCCCATAATGACATACTCCAAATAAAAATTGATAATAAAATAATAACTAGCCCTAATATTATAGCACAAACATTTAATGACTTTTTCTTAAATCAATCTCATTTGAAATTATCTGTTGACAATGACGTTAGTAATAGCAATAAAATAACTAGTTCCTCATCTTGCATGCATAATGAAAAATCAGTTTTTTGAAAACCTACTTCTCCTGATGAAATAAAACGTACTATTATGTCGTTAAAAAATACAAATAGCACCGGATACGATGAAATCAGCACAAAAGTTCTTAAATATGTAAGCAACTCAATTGCACCTGTACTGTCATATTATTAAGTTATGCATTGAATACGGGATATTTCCAGAAAAAATGAAAATGGGCGAATGCACTGACCAATTATGCTACCGCGGCCCTGACATCTGCGTCGAAATTATTCTAGCCATTCTTAAAATGCAAGGCAGCGCCATTTCTTAGCATTGTAAGTAACTCATAATATCAAATGAATACTTTTATAAGTATTAAAAATTTGAAAGAAGAAATAGCATTTATAGTTATATTTTTTATTTTCGGGTTCTTTTCCCGTCTGCTGCCTGGTCCGCGTGGATTTTTTTCTAGTTATATTTTCTTTAGATTTAAAAATCAAGCCGTTACGTGGTTCAAAAATAAAAATTATAACTATATTGCTATTTCTTCTTTCAAATGTTTAATACTTGTAAAAATATTCATTTGACATCGTGGGATACTTACAATGCGAAGAAATGGCGCAGCCTTGCCGCTTAAGAATGGGTAGAATAAACAAAAATGTTAATACAATAATAACTGCTGATTTTTTATAAACCCAAACGGTATCTCCCGTTGAACAAAAGAAGAATCACTTACATCGGACATGAAATCTTTAAGTAATCGGTTTACATATAAAAGTACCGAGAAAATTATATCGATCAAATCACAAAAATGTTTATAAAATAAAAACTGCTGGACCAAACTAGATTAATTTTTATGGGACCAAATAGCAACTATTTCGCATCGAACAAAAAAATAATTACGCAAATCAAATAAGAAACCACGGAGTAATCAGTGTTCACAATTAAAAAAAACACAACTACGAATTAAGTAATGCCTTATTTTTGTAGTCGGTTAACGATAATCTTTCATCATTTTCTTTTGTTTCAGGCCATTTCCGATTTCCTGCTGGGAGTGTTCTGTCTGCCTTTCACACTTGTCGGCCAGATCTACAGGCGGTTCTTGTTTGGTGCGACTCTTTGTAAACTGATACCTTTCCTTCAAGGTAAATTTTCAGACTAATAAGTTATATATTTGAAATATTAAGATAATAATAAATAAAATAAATAAATATTTCCAACACTCACACCAATTAGCCTAGCCCCAAAGTAAGCACTATAAGGCTTGTGTTATGGGATACTAGGGTAACGGATAGAATACAAATTCTTTACTTATATAAGTATATTTATATAACAATACATAAATATTAAACATCCATGACTGGAGTGCAAATGCTCGTGTTCATCACACAAACATCTGCCCCCACCGAGATTCGAACCCGGGACCTCTCGAGTCGGCGACGCCATGAAACCCGGCGTACAAACCACTCGGCCACGGAGGTCGTCGAAGATGATTAGATTAAACATCGATAAATCAGTATCATACGGTAGGTGATTCTATTATACTGTATTATTTCATAGCATATAATAATTTCAACAGAAATGAGTATTAAAAGCACATTATATAAGTTGAATTCGCTATACGGGCAGACAATAGAGGTATCAATAAAATTAGCTTAAAAATACTGTAAGGTTGATTGTAAATTACAACCTTTTGATGTATGAGCAGAATCCCTAGCACGAATCATTATCGAATTCGAATAGTTTGTGACTGCGAAATATCAGTGTCAAATTTTGTACGGAAACTTGAACAGCAGCGCCACAAAGTACGTATAGTAATGTCATTGTCACTCAAACTTTTTTAAATGAAAATATTGTTTCTTCCATTCGTTAGGTATAAGAAATCAAAATCTGGTACAAAGAATTCCGACTCAAAATTCGTGTTAACTGATGTTATGTGTCCGGCACCGCATGCCGCATACTGCAGCGTTGTGTGTTACGACCAAGAGACCAAAGCTTAACTATAAAATCCGACAGCTGTAAACCTATAAACAATATCGGCGTTGCCATGAGGAAAACAAAAGTGTTGCCATAAAATCACATTTTTATCAGAGCGGTAATAGTCTCTTATCATCGGAAACCAAAGATTGAGGAAAACAGAGACCATACATCACATTCGTGCCATAAATTATGTATCCGTTTATAAATTATTCATCATAAAGAGACGGTATACGCAACAAAACAAAAGTTCTCTTTATAATTCAGTGCAGTGCAGTATTAATGTTTATTTATACTTTATTGCAAAAATAAAAGCAAATTGCGGACATAATGCCATAAGGCATTCTCTACAAGCCGACCAGTAAGAGCGTGAGAAAAAAAAGGGGGGGTGCAGTAAGGACAAATGTAAGATAAACCATAGAATACACACATAGTAAAAAAAATATTGTCTCATCATACACTTGCAGCTTGCAATACTAAAATTCTAAGTATTATTGTTTTTGTTAATTCTATAATAATTTCATTTTTAATTAAATTTTAGTATTGCAAGCTGCAAGTGTATGATGAAAAAATATTGTTTTTTTTAACTTTTTCTTTTAAGTACTGGCACATATTAAAATCCTCATGTAGCGATGGTCGAAAAATAGAGGAAAATATAAAACAAAAAAAAACATCTACAAAGGGCGGAGCTACTCAAATAGTCACGCAGTAACCACCAGTTACGTGAGTTAGGTAGTTAAGTTATGAAACTAACATTCATCCTAGTTTATCTCTAAAATTGGCACCAAGATTTTCATTAACGATATGCACTACCACGATGCGTATCAACGGTCTCCTGACCCAAACCTGTCATTAAAGTCTTCGCTACGCGGTGTACTTCCACGACATTTTAGTAATCGTTTTCATCGCTCGAACACGCTTCCCATCCATAGGAAAGGCCTGTGGCCTAGGGACTGTAATAGGGTGATTGATCATAATAATAATATTTATTTGTTAAAAAAATGTACATGGTAATAATCTTATAAATATGTTAAAACTAAGGCCATTATTTCACACACAGTACATATAGATATCCTCAGCCAACCTAGGAAGTTCATCCTGTGTTTTGAAATTGAAATTGACCATAATTATGAAAGCTTTAATATCTTGTTTTTTTGCAGCGGTATCAGTGTCAGTGGATGTATGGACGCTGGTGGCGATTTCCCTGGAGCGCTACTTCGCTATCTGCCGACCTTTGAAGTCACGCAAGTGGCAGACGCAGTGCCACGCGTACAAGATGATCGCGATGGTGTGGATGCTGTCTGTGGCACTTAACTCTCCCATATTGATCGTATCTACGCTACAACCTATGAAAGCAAACGGTGAGCGATAGAAAGATAGTTCTTATTTTTTTATAATTTAACGGTTAAGTTTCAATATGTAAAATCTAGTAAAAGGTTAATCTTGTTCCGTCTGTTCATTGTACGGAATCCTAAAGAACGAGGCCAGACTCGCGCTTGGCCAGGTTTTATAGGTACCGAAAAACACAGGCGTTGTTATAACATAGCTAAAGGACAATGTTAAATTTGGCCTAAGAACCAACACCAATTTGGAATTTATGATAATTCTTAGTATATTTTTTGCGATAACTATCAGTATTTAGATTGTGACCGACACTTCCAGTTAAGTAAGCTATATTAAATAGTTAAAAAATAATCTGAGTATACCAATTTATGTGTATAATCTATGGCAGCGCTGCAAACAAAACACTTTCTTCCTGATGCCGGCACTTCACTTGGGCTATTCGTGTTTGCTTTTTGAAAACTTGCCATCAGTCTGTCCTTTTTATTCCATATTAAGCATGACAAGGACAGTCTGTTGTCAAATGAAGGGCAGGCATATCATTCGATACTCTGTGGTTGTGGTGCAGGCAGTTTGCATTCGTAGTAATCTGTAGCATTAGTGGATTCTCGTTTCGGATTTCCTGTTGTATGTGTTTATTTGCGATTGTTTTTACTTTAATTTAACTTTTTCGGCTATCTAATATGCCAGCGATGTTACCAAATAGCAGAGACCTTATTACCAAGTGCTAGAAAACCTATGCCACAACATACTGAGAGGATCATTTACACGGCCAAATTATGCAAGAGCAGCTGATACACTTCACGCTGCATATTTAATTTACTAAATATACATGTGATATACAAATAAAATACAATATGATATAATTATGTGAAAAATAGTCAAAAAATAAGAAGCAAAACTACAGTTTTTATTTTATTCATAATTCCTACCAGCCCGAGTTTATCCTAATATTTATTTTTTAAAATCGCACCGACTAAAAATGAATTAGTTGTAATATTAATTCAATTCATATTGAGTTCATACTAAGTTCATAGGTTGACATATGTTTCATTTAATATTAAACATAACCTCAAAAAATATTTAGTTTTCCTGATAATTTAAGTTCTCAGAAGTGTCCGTCAATAATCTTTGTTTTTACAGTCATTTACTTGCAATTTCGAACCTAGAAAATAATATTTCATGATTGTTGGTTCTTAGGCTAACAATGTATGAACGCAGAACAATGTCCTTTGGGGGACAAAGCCGAGCGCGTACTTGGGCTTTAGCTCTAGATACCCACACGTGTCCCCTGGGTAGCGCCAAATGCTCTGCACATCACCGGTGGTAGGTTTCGACCGTGGCTGGTAACCACTCTCCAGGCAAAACCGAGCCGCCATGCGACTTTCATCGTGTTCCGGCTCGATGCCTGGTGTTGCCGTTTTTGGGTAGGGGAGTCCGAGCAGTTGCGATGTAGCAGTTCTCCAAAGAGAAGGCTGACTTGTTTGAATCTATATTTGCGAACAACTCACAACTGGATGCTGCTGGCGCAAAAACCCACCTAAGCTTCCTCAATATTCTTCTGCCATGTTGGAAGTTCGCATCCATCAGAAAGAGGTACTCAAAATGCTAAACACTCTGGATGTGAATAAAGTCAGTGGGCCCGATGGCATTCCAGCTATTGTTCTGTGGAATTATGCCCCTGAGTTGTCTTCTATTCTGACTCGCCTATATCGCTTATCCCTTGAGATCGGCCAAGTCCCGAAAGTCTGGAAGCTTGCCAATGTCCAACCAGTACCCAAAAAGGGTAGTCGTGCCGACCCTGCCAACTATCGACCTATTGCAATTACGTCCATACTCTGTAAGATTATGGAGCGTGTATTGAACAACCTTTTCCTCGCTTACCTCGAATAGGCTTGTTGAAAATATATCGATCTATCGATATATCGATATTTTTTGTTCGATATATCGTTATTTTTTGCCGATATATTTTGATTCGATATATCGATACATCGATACAAAATAAGCGATATCAAAATTCGTATCAAAAACGATATTTTTTTAATTATTAGCGGCATATCACGATCTAACTAAATTCGTATCTGGAACAATCGTAACTGGATCTTAGATTAATGATATTCAACATATCTATGATCTGTGCTGTATTTAGTATTGTCTATTATTTGTAAATCTGTTTCGCTGGTGAATTGGTTGTGCTGATTTCCATTATATTTTGTGGAAGTGTGCGATTGTCTAGTCTTGTTTACGAAAGATGGCACCTGAGAGGCCCTGCAATCATTTTCATCATTCGAACATAGGCTCTATTTTTAGGGAGATAATTTTCGTTCCATTATTATTCCGCGTGTCATATTTCGTGAGATACTCTGTACTGTCATGTAGTGTAGCGGCAATTTGGTACTTTGATAATTCTTTCTTTAATTATAATTTGTATTGAACTATTATTACTGTGCTAGGCTGACCTAAATATATTTTGGGAAAATTGGTCGGATATATCGATATATCGATGTTTTTTTCACGATATATCGAAGCCAATATTTTTTAAAATATCGATGTATCAATATATCGATATTTTTTTCAACTTTCGACATCCCTAACCTCGAAGATAACGGTCTCCTCAGTAACTGCCAATTCGGTTTCCGCCGTGGGCGATCTACTGGGGATCTTCTTGTGTATGCTACCCACTTATGGAGTGAAGCCATAGAGGAACGCGGCGAAGCTCTCGCCTTTTCTCTTGATATTTCGAAGGCTTTTGACAGGGTCTGGCATGCAAGTCTCATCGGCAACTTGGTTGGGTTCAATCACTCTAAAACACAGGCCTGTCTCTTCTCGGCGAAACAGAGTCCATTGCACCTGACTCTGACTTTCCGAAATGTATGTAACAGCCTAGACTGAATAAACGATATTGAATTTTGAATTTTTGAAATTTTGGCGACCACGCACCGGACGGCGCTCAGCGGGCTCGCCTCTACGAAGTAGACCGACGATCTTGTGCAGGTCGCGGGAAGCCGATGGATGCGAGTGGCGCAGGACCGATCGGTGTGGAGATCCTTGGCGGAGGCCTCTACTCAGCAATGGGTTTCGTACGGCATGATGATGATAAATACAGTCAAAATGACCTGAAATTGGTAGGCTGACACTTACATTGCTTGGGCTTAATCTAGATACTTACATAACAAAGTTTTGCTCTATTATTGCGGTCTAACTCAGGCGATTATTACCACAATGGTAGTAGCGTTGCTACTAGGCCACTCATTTTCTAGAACATGCACAAATAGGTTTGCTTTTTTGCCCTTAAGTATAAAGTTTAAATAATAACAGTTTCAATCGGTCTTGTTTTGTCTCAGACAAACTGTTAAAGATATTTCAACTACATGTGTCTTATTCAGAGTTTCTTTTAGTTATTTTCACAATTATATATTGATGTGGGTTTCTGTTATCAGTTTCGTTTTATAAACAAGTTGCTATTGAAGTAACCAAGCATTACACGAGTCTAGATTCTAGAATTCTTCAATGGAATATTTATTTTTATTAACGTGTAAGAAACGTTACCTAAGCAAATGCTTATGTGGGGTTTGAATTATTTATTATACATAGGTATAAGAAGATATGAAGGTTTTATTTACAATTTCTTCCAGTGGGTCGTTGTAAATATTGTATAAAAATTAAAATAAATTGTCGATCGTCTATCCACAATTTTTGATAAATACTAACTTTTACCTGCTACTAGGCTTCACATAGTCAGCAATTCATTTAAAGGGCTTTATGTTCGCTTATACAATAAAGTCCCAAGCAATATCCAAGAGTTAAGCATAAATAAATTCAAAGATAGTATAAAAAAGCTTATTACAAAGTGTCTGATTATATTACAGACAAAAATGTTTGGGTTTGAACTGTTCCAATCATTCCAACAGGTTTTCTATATTAAATAAATCATGATTGTATTGACGTTGTAACAACATAATGATTTGTAAATGTTGTTACATTATGCTTTTAATGTTGTGGAGTTTTTTTCGCTCGTTTTTCTCCGCAGCTAAAAATATGTCCAATAAAGAGTGGTAGGGAAAAAAAATGTTTGGACGATTCAAAAGTGTTGTACTATACATCCAATTTGAATAAAGATATATTGATTTCTTTCAAAATGGAGGAGGCCTTTACTCGTTGAGAGGTCCATAATGACATGCAATTATTAATTACTTTGACATTCATTTATCATTTAGAATTTGATGTTTATTATTATTATTACTTGACAATTGTATGAAATGAAAATTTTAAAATGCTAATTGTAATCTAATTTATAGTATTAATTGTTGTAATATTTTATTATTTCATGCATGTACTTATTAATAATTCTATGATATTTATTACTTGTTCATTATGGAAATAAAGAGGCTATATTATTATATTGATTTCTGATTTCTGATTTACTACTTGGTTGAGAATTCTCATTTTTTATCATTTTTACTTTGACCAATTTCTTAATGTGTATGAAATGAAAAATTTTGCTCCAGTAATTACTAATGCAGAAGTAATTAGTTTTACTTATGTATGAATACGACTGTTAATCTTTGAATCTTATCTGATGTCACCGATTAATCGCTAACACTGTGGCAGCATCTTAAATCACTCCTGTTTACCTGATATGTATCCACTCATTACGGTATCCAGACACACCTCTTATGCTTTTTCAACATTTATCAATACAATCGCTGAATACATACTTTGGATTGGGATCAAGCTGCTTGTCTGTATGCACAGCATCGTAAAGTTTAATGCTTACCCATAGATAGCAACAAAATAATTTATTAAATACACACATCAAAAAGTCTGAGCAACATGCATCATTTACATAAACTCTATGTTATATTAATTGATGCATTTTTTTAGAAAAGTAGATTAGTATACGAGTACTACCTTTTTTGTTCTCGAAAATATAATTGGCTGATTCAAAAAATACTTTTTGATTGTGTTTATAGTAGTATAGTATTACAATGTTAAAAATCTTTCAAAAGTTCAAAACCGTACAACATGTTA